TGATATCGTTTTTTGTCTTTTGAAAGAATAAAAAATAAAGATTATAAAGTGACACTGATATGTTTTGTATCTTGCAATAAATAACTAAGTTAGAAGTTTTAAATTTCATTATGAATGTCGTCAACATTAAAGCCAAATATTTTTACTTTTCTTTTCCGTTTTAGGTCTTTTTCCTTTTTCTAAAATTCCAAAATAAATTCTCATCTTTGTTCGGCTTTAAAGGAATGCACATTAAATTACAATTTAATCACATCAAACCTTGAATTGTGTGGATATGCATAAATTTTATATTTTTGGAGCAACCCTCCGCGATTGTTCAGACTTCTTTGCCGCCTTATGTTTGGGTTAGTCCTGTTTGTTGCCGCTGTCCTTGGTCCTTTTGCCATCTGTGGGTCACACGCATATGCATGAGGAGTATTTGGCCGGGAGAGTCCTTTTCGAGAGGAGGTTGAGGCGGTGGAATCAGAGTGTTTTTGGTGTGGCACTCATTGGTGCGTAGTCTGCCGCCGGCGACCTTTCGGTTGACTTTTCCACTTTGACGAAATTAAATCTGCAATGCTAAAATGATGATGGACAGACTCGTATATGAGTGTGTGTGTGTGCTTTGTGTTGCGCTTGAATGGCAATTGAAAATGCGAGCGAATAAGATTGAAGCTGGCATTTTCAGGGGATGAACCTTTTTGATGCTTGTTAATATATTATTAATCAATATGAAATTCCCAACGCAATTTCAAACAGATTTCAACATATTTAAAGCGATTAATTTCTTGTATTTATGAAATCTTTAAGTTATGTACCTTGATATGTAAGTTGTCTAATAACAACAATAATCTAACAGTATCCATTATAAATATTTATCTTGTTTTTCAATTTTTTAATATTCCTTTTGTTTATTTCCTGTTTTTTATACTGGAAGTGATTATGGTTAATACGATGACATCAACTGTTGTTTTAATAAAATTACTGAACGTGACACGAAATATAAACGTATGTGGGTCATATTGCTGTCGTTCAATGCGAGCACGCATGTTAAGATTAAACTCATCAGAATGCCTCAAGATAAGAATCTGTTTTAAAACACTAAAATATTTATCCGGAAATGATAAATGAAAATTTAAAACATACTTTTTTAATAAACGCTTTTATTACCCCGAGTATAAAAATAACAAATTTTTGTTCAATTTTCTATAATTTTAGCGCAAATGCAAATTAATATATATTCTCGGGGAAGATAATGTTGTAACCACAATGAGAACACACGTTATAATTTCAAACATTACTTGCAATTGTGGATATCCAGCTGCTTTAGTATTTTGCCTGGAGCTCTGACTAATGCAAACGTCCAACATTTTAGTCCGTTTTCATGTCCAGATCAGCAGCAGGGGAGTCGAGATGGAGTTACAGAATCAAAAGCAGCGACCGAAGCCAAATCAGGAGCAACAACAACTGCAATGGCTTTAGAGTGAAACACTTTAGTAATTGGTAGCTTATTTCCATCAGCAGACGGAATGGCTGGCGGGATCGGGTGTCTGGTGTCCAAAGGAGGAACCAAAGGAAATGAAGGGACAGAGCCAGAAAACAGGACCTGGGTTGGATGGTCGGGGAACAGGACTAAAGCCGGAGCTAACGGCATCACGATTATGCACAAAAGCCCGACTGTCAAGCTTAATGTGAAACGTCGCACAAATGAAACAAATGCAAAAAGCGATAGGATGGTATAGTCCGGGTGGCTTTGGTAGGAAAATAAAATGGAAATGACACACGTTACACACGGCTTTAATACGAGGTTATGTTGTGTGTGTGCGCTTGCCCATCCAAACTACTACATACAAATTTACAAATATATATATCTCTGGTTCACTACAGTCTCCAGATGCTTTATATCCGAAAGGTGACTATATATGCTGGTGGGTGTCTCCCAAAGGACAGCCCCAAGAAAAGCGAGAAGAGCGAGAAGAGCCATGGCTAAAGAAAAGCGGAAAAAAGGTTCCTACTTTGACATAATTAAACGCATTTGAAAGATGAAGATGTCGCCCCCGTCGCAAATGGGAGGAACAAGAGCAAGATGAAGATGTTGATGGTGACAGCAACACCCCAACACCTCATCCCACCCACTTTTCCCTCACCTCCGGCTCAGCCTGATTCATGACATGGCCATCTTTGGGCGAAGGTGTGGCAAGCTGCCTTCTCAGTAACCCCCACATTTCCACCTTTCCACATCCACATCCACATCCACCTGCCACTTGCCACCACCTTGATGATGAAGCTGATTATGTTTGGCTCCCTGGCTGCGGCCCATCTTCTTTTTCCTCGGCCATATCTTTATCTTATATTTTTTACTCCGTCCTATGAAGAAGATGAAGTGCGCTTGGTTTATCAATACTACACTGAAAAGATCTTGTGCGAAAAAGTAGTTATTTTAGCTTTATTCAAATGAAGTATTCCATGTCTTGTTAACAAGGAACTTAAAAAGAATTGATTATGTTTCAGTTTTTTCAGGTTAAAGAGAGAAGAGAATGTAATAGATAGGTTTTTATTAAATTTTTTATTCTTCAAATTTGAAAATAGATTAAAATAATATGAGGTTTTTCCTGTCTCCTTTTTTTTCAGTGTCCCCTTGCAATAGCAACAGCAACATCTTCCGCCTCACCGTTGGAGCAAGTTGAAAAGATTTGTGCGGCATTTGAGGCATTTTATTTGAGTTATTTAGTTGGTCCGCTGATGATATTTCCCCCTGATCACTCTGGTTCCACTTGCTGTTTGCCGTTGCTGTTGGCATTTTATGGCGGCCATTTCTCTTGTTTAAGGTGCGAGCGCATCTGAAGTGCCACTGCCACCATTCCTGTTCCCTGCTCTTCATCTTCTTTGGCGTTGTGGCGGCTGCTGTGGTCGATTTTGTTGTTGTTGCTGTTAAATCCATAAATTATGCAGACATTTAGCAGCAGCCACAAGACCGTGGAAAATTACGTATACGCCGCGTGTTCACCGCTTGTCCGTTCATAATTTAAGTTTTTCCCGCTTTCGGCATTTTGCTCTTTTTGCCATTGTTGTCTTCTCGGCTAGCTGATGTTGTTCTTGTTTGTCAACATGTCTCAGGGTGTTGGCAGCGGTTTATTTTTGCTATTGTTGTTGCTGTTGTTGTTGTTGCTTTTGTTGCTGCTGTTGCTGAATCTATATTTCTGGGAGTGATTGTGTGTGAGTGTGGCTGTTTTTATTTGTGTGCCGCCTGCGGCCATGGTGATAACTCTGATGACGTTGATGAAAAACTTTTGATTGATGTGGTGGCAAAAACTTCATGTTTGTCATTAGGCACAACTAATGGAGGCGGAGGCGAAATGGCAAAATGGGCCGAAGGGGGTAGCCGAAAGGTTTCCTGGATGTGTTTGGCCCAAATCGGTGGGTGAAGTCAAGTTTTTGGCACAACAAACGACAGTCGGCGAAAAGTTCTCGCACTACGCGTGTGTGTGTGCGGTTGCGGCACTCGAAGAGTTTTGCGAAAAGTTTTGTTTATTAATTAATTGAGGGCTCGTGCATGTGAGTGGTTCAAAACAGTTGCTCTATGTGGAGCCAAAGTTGAAGAGATTCTTAGCCAATATGTTGTTTCGTGGAAGTAAATGAAGTGATTTGATTATTCTTTTACCCTAAGTCGAAAATAAAACATCTAAGATGTGCTTTGCAGTAAAGTAACTTCCAAAATTTAAGCTTCATTCAGATTCGGTAAACATAGAGCACTCTAATGGAAACATTTCAAAACTTGGTTTATTTGGGAAAACAAAATTGAAGCCTTAAAACCTTGACATGGAATCAGTTACCAATCTAACAGTTCAAGCACCCACCGGCATATTTTTCAACCTTGGCAACGCCTAACGAGATCTAGTTCTAGTTGTTGGCTGCGTACCCTTATTTGGCGCTCCGGCAGTAACTATAGTTTTACCTGGGGCCCTTAACTATACCACGATGCCACCTGTTCCCCCAGCCTGCATCCTACAAGTCGGAGCCATTCATTACGGCGTGTTTGCCTTTGCCTAGTTGCAACCAACAATGCCACACTTCTCCCCACTTCGTAGTTCTTGTTTCTACTCTTTTTCAGCACTTTTTTTCTAGCCCCTTTCCTCTCTCTCTTTCCCTCTATTGCCGTTTTGTTGGGCACTTTTTAAACTTTTCTCGTTATTTTTGCACATTCGCTTGGGTTTTATGGGCACTGCTACACTAATTACCTTGTTTTTCGGAGAATTAACTTTTCGATTACTGTTGCCACAGTTTGTTACTGCTGCCAAGAAGAAGAAACTTACAAGTGCAGTTTTGAAAAAAATAAAAATATCGATGGGAGGGGAAGAAACTATAAAACGAGTAAATTGTTTCTGGGATAGCCCCTCTGAATGCCATACATTTTTTAAAAATTGTGGAAATATGCTAAAATGCACTGGAGAGCAGCAAATCACAGACAGAAATTGTGGCTGCAAAAATTTGCGGTTTGGCAGTTTGAGTGCCCTCTTTTTTCCTTTCTTCCCCTGCCTATTAAATCCCCTTTTTATTCTCACTGTGCTGCGGGCATTAAATTGGGGTCGACCTTGTTGAGCTGAAGTTGATTTTTTATAAGCCACGCTGCTCATATGTATCTTTGCAACTGAATATATGTATGTAGATAGTTGAATGAGAATGCTTCGGAATAAAATAATGTATCTATGATGGAAATCTTATACTCTCATTCACGATTTGTTGTTTTCACGTCATTCAAAAGTCTTAAGGTTTTGGGCTCTAATAAGAGCATTAAGACACAGAACTTTACATCCTAGTTTAGAGGAAGCTAAGATTATGTTGTTTAAATTTGGCCATTACGGAATTTCAATTAAAAGCTCATAAAAAATGAATTTCCAAAGAAAAGTTTATCAAGCATTTTCTTCGACTTTAAACTTTCTCACTTGCAAACTTTTTTTTAAGTTTGAAACTTTATCACGAAACGCCAATTAACTAATTAACTCTTTCCTGTTTTCTTGCAGATACAGTTGAAGTGATAAACAGTATTAAAGGTAAGAACAATATATGTAAGTTAAAGAGGAAAAAAAAACTCCTGCTTTTATTTTTGTGGCGTCTGATTATTTCAGTCAATTTTACCTTCTTTGACCCTTTGAATCTCTGTTTAATTAAATTTTGATTGAATTTCCCCAACTTAATGATTTTCTCTTGTCCTCCTTTAATATGCTTACAGTCATTTATTTTATCTTGGGAGTGCTAAAATAAATGTATATGCACATATGTATATTTTGAGGGGGATTTGATTAAAGCGGAATTCCTCATGACAATTTAAGCCCCGGGCAGTTATCTGAAAACTTAGAAATGTGATTTCTGAATGGCAAACAAAATAAACGTTTACGTGACATGTTAAATAATTGAAACAAAAAGGCAAACAAGACTTCTTTGCCCACGCCGAATTTTGGAATGCTGTTTTTAAATTGTTCAATAACATTGCTAAAGTTTTAATAAGAAATTTGATGGTGTTTTAAATTAAATAATTTTAATGTTAGCACAAGCATTATTACTTAATTAATTCAGAAAATTCTAAAATACAAATGTCATTTGGGCTTTGATTGCTTTTTTCTGAAGTGGAAACCCAAAAATGTAAGCACTCAATTTTCCAGCTAGCATTTCCCCTTTCGTTCACTCATCTTTCTTGAAGCTGAGCTGTCAGCGGAGCTCTTTCCATTCAGTTCCTTTTTTACAGTCTTAAAATAGGGAACATCTTCATGAAGTTAATTACAAGGAAATGCTGCAGTGATTTTTGCTCGACGGCAACGCCCCAAAAACTGGCCATCGGGTACAGATGGTTCTCGGGACTGACCGTCGCTTACATTTTTCCTTTTGCATTTTCCTTTTTGCCATTTTCAAATGTAATTACATTTCATTTTTCTCGCTTCGCTCCTTTTCGGAGCGGACTTTTCTTCTCTTCATATCCCTGGGATCTCCATTGCCTGAGTCGTTCATTATCCGGCCCTGTCCATAACATTTTGTTGCACAGTCGTCGCTAATCTTGGCCGACAAGTTCCTTTTGGCCCATGCCGCTCCTCTCCATTTTCCCCGGGGCTATCTGTCCCTGTTTCTTGGCGACTGTTTAAATGTCAGTTAAAATCCCATAAATTCTCCTTAAATGACTTCTGTCTGCCGCAATTTCGTTGCCCAGCACTGCTGACCCTGGCGACGTTCAGACGGATATGGGCAAAATGGCCAAGAAGAATTGCAGTTGGCTTGTGCTGAACGCTGGGCAGAATTAGCTCTAAGAGCCGGCGAATCACACAAAAACTTGTCGACTCCCTCCGTAACTTAAGGTTTAATTCTTTCTTAACTAAAAGATAAGACGGAGAGAGAGCGAGCGATTTTTTCTTCATTCATCTTACTCGGCCAAGAGTCACTTGGCAAGTAGAGTAGCAAGCAAAGCCTGGATTTCTCTGCCTTTCTGCAAACTCAATGACGCAACATGCAACTTGCAGCTAACAAGTTGCAACTTCTGCAATTGGTTCAATAAACTCATTAAATGCTTTCAACTTTCTGTTTCTCGTTTTTACAAAGTTCTATTTTTTTTTTTTTGCTTTCCTGCGCTTTGCGAAAACTTTTCTGAACAGAAATGGCGGTCATTCGGTCGCCTTTTGGCTCGTTTTCAACTTGTCGCATTATCCTTTTTATTGTCGTCGACATTTGCAACGCATTATCCTTGGCAGCTATTTTTGTTTTGTTTGCCGGATAGGAGATTTTCCTTGTTTTTTTTTTTTTTTGTATTATGCCAGCGGCGAGAATTTCATAACTTTGTTGGGCAGTTTGACTAATGTGCGTCATAAAAAATAAATCAGTGGAAGAGGTCGTCATCAAAGTAAATTTAAAATTCATTTAAAACGAGATGAAAGAGTAAATCCATAATTAAATATAATTAGATTATAAACTTTTTCTGTTTTAGTAGTCAACGAAAAAATTAGGTGTTAATAAATTCGATTTTTTTCAGGATTATGTTAAGAGAAACTTTCAGCTTGTTTATATCCAATTACTTTTAAGTTATATGATATGGTACGATCTCATTCGCACTTGTTCCCATTCCTTGCCAATAAATATTTGGCCCAGAAAGCATTTAACTTATTTGCCTATTTCTGGCTGACTGGCTTGGCTTTGTTCCTGTTCCTTGGGCTCTTGCCAAGCTGGCGGCAAACAATAAATTTTGTGGGGAATTTAAGCGCGGCCACATTTTAATTTGTGGCAGCAACAGCCGCAGGAGCTGGCAACGGCATCGGTAGTATATGGAAAGCCAGCGGCAGCTTCCGATTCGGTGCCTCAGCCTAACACCTTGGTCCTTGCCCGATGCTGCCTCCGTTTTCCGGAAAAACCGCAGCATTCATCGTTGCCTGGTTGCGGCTAAAGCCTCAACCATAACTATGATAACGAGTGGCTCAGACAGGGGATAGCCGAGTAAATGGCGGTGGGGGAATGTCAATTTATTTGTTGTGCCACCAACCGCAGCTGGCTGGTTTGCCTTTGCCTTGTGTTGTGATTCTTTTGGAGGTTTTGCCAATTTGTCGGCTTCCGGCTTTTTTTTTTTTTTTTTTTTTTTTTTTTTTAGGTTTTTGTAGCCCCTGTAGCGGCGTGGAAATTCTTTATGAAAACTTTGTTTACAACAATCAACTCACAGTCACCCCGTCGCCTTATTCCCGCTTACTTGCACTTACTCCGCCGGAATTGAGTTGACAATATTTTTAATAGAAACTCACAGACTGCCAGCCCAACTTTTCTTTTACTGACTGGGGAGATGGAGCCACCAAGTTGGGAGAGAGTCTCTCCTCCGTCTCTTGTTTGTGTTTCAATTTGTGTGCCTTTTATAGAATTATGCAGTTTTTCCAGCTTGCCTCTAGATGCACAAGTTGGGCAACATTTTGGAGCCAATCGAGTTGCAACTTTTCGGTTTTTTCCTTTGAAGGCGTCAACTGCATGCAGAAATGATAATTTATGCTGAGATTGGAAACTTCTTTTTGGGAAAACAGAATGTCTTTTTATAACTATGTTCTCTTTTTAAAACCCTTTACTAAAGTCTTGACAATCCGTTTTGTCTTCTAAATATTGTATATAAGAAAACTCTTAAATTATTTACAAGAAACTTAATCTCACACAATCCAATATGCTTAAGAATTTTGTAAACCCAACCATTTACCTAATCAATCTCCTGTTAGTTATCTAATTCGCTTTTGTAATTTCCCCAACTAATTTGCAATGCTAATCCCTAGGCAGCTGCACTTCCGATCGGATTTTAACTCTGATTCCAATTCCATTTCCATTCGCCGTAAAAAGCAGTTTGAATTTGTTTTACTTTTCCATCCATTCGTTTACACTTGCTTGCCCCATTTGGCAGTCCATAAAGAGTGCGCCCCACGTCCTCTCCCTTTAGGCCATTAATTTCTGGCTAAGTCAGGGGGTGAATCCGCAGTGGCGAGGTTGGTGTGAGTGTTCCGGCCGAAAGCAATCCCATCATCCATCGAAGGCCGTAAAAGTTGGAATGCGAATGAGAACGAAATGTTTTACTCGTAATTTGCGCTGTGCTGTTGTCTCATTAAAAGCTGTCAATTGTTCATCATTGTAATTAAACAAGGCTTTTAAATGGGCTCAGCACTTGGTAAAGAATACCAGGCGGTTTTCTTGTAGTGCAGAGTGCACAGAATTCATTTCAGAATTTAAAGAATTTATTCTGGCTGACTGTAAAGTTTTGCGCCTTTGGTGCAACACCTCTTCTGGCAATTTGTAGTCCTTCTTATATCCTTTTTATTGCCGAAGAAAGGAATGGTGCCTTCCTTAGTGCCGAAAGTGTGTAATAAAGCTCAGTTGAATATATGTGTATATATGAGGTGATCTTATTCTGTTTCCTGGGGGTGTGGTCAATAAGCTGCAGTATGCTCTGCTGCTCGGGGACTGCAGTTTATCCCCGCCGCAGCCTCGATTATTAAAGGACAAAGTACGGATTCGTCCTGAGGGTCCTTTTGCCGCAGAGTCATTGGCGATGATAAATGTGTAAGGAATAAGAAAGAAAAGAAAGATTCGTGGACTATTTCCTCTGCTGAAATAATTGAAATATAAGTAAAGAAAATCTTATGAAGCCTGCAAAGAAATTTAATTTTATGAGTTTTACTTACAACAAAGAAAGCCACTTTTTTCATAAGATTTAATACCATATTGTTCCAATCCTTATCTGAAGCTTAAGGGGTTATATACCTTTTTGAGCGAAAAAAATGAGGGAACTTTGGATTTTTTTTCAGGTGTGTAGCAATTATTTTATGATACTGAGGTTATTATTTATTGATAGTACATGTTTTTATAGACACAACAAACGTTTGTTCTTAAAAAAATATAAATAACTTTCGAAGTTATGGCAATTCTCTCATAACCCTTTTTTTGTTATAGCGGCTTGCGGTGACCACGATGGAAGTCCAGCGGGTCAACTAAAATCAATAAACCAAAAATTTTTTATTAGTTTAGTATTATTTCTAGTTCGTCATTGAATCACTTCAAGAATATTTGGTTTTTTCTGCATACAGTAACAATTTTTTCAAAAAATTGATTTTTCGAGCTCTAAAAATTTTATTAAAAATTTCTTATCTGCAAAATCGAAATTGCCGCAGAAAAACTGATTCAATGACGAACTCGGCACAATCATTACGAATATTTAAAAAAAAAATTGAAGAAGATCGATCAAATAGTTCTTGTGCAATCGCGGTCACAGCAAAGGCACTTTTGGAAAAAAACGACTTTGAGATAATCGCATTCAAAGTTTTACGTTGCGGTACAAAGAGTGACGTACCGCGCCTCAAAACGCTGTTTTCCTATCGAACTATTATTCGGATCTCTTCAAAAATTTGGGAAAATGTTCTCTAGGGGATATACTTTAGGATTCAGCTTAAAAAAATTTTTCGTTTTTTTTAAAAAAAAAAAAGGTATATAACCCCTTAATGCTAAGTTCATATCTGTTAACTCTTTAAGATACCGTTTTTTATGTTTTGTCCTGTCC